TGGTCCAATTAATATCCATATAACCAAATAAATTTTTAGTACAATGAGGGAAAGTCTCGTCAACCTACGAACAGAGATGTGACTGCACAGTTCAATCAATAATATATACTAAGTGACATATAAATCCGAACACCCAGTTTAAATGGTTTTATATTAATAAAAGTTGGTGAATGTATTTATCTTACTATAAATAACAAGTGAAAAAATTTTCAGCCTTATCAGTTGGACATTCCGGTTTTTATACTGCTGGACCTTCTTTTCGGGCAATTGCAGTTAGAGTGCAAAGAAGTGTAGACACTGTGGTTAGGTGTTGTCAGGCATGGCTTCGAGAAGGCCGTACGCAAAGAGCAAGGGGCACTGGGCCTTAAGGGACCGTTTCTCCACTACCAGGTCCATTGCAAATGAATGGTTTGCAGAACACGGAAGACCTATTGGCATGCGAAGTGTTTACCGACGAATGAGAAGTTTTGGCTTCTTTTTAGACCGGCCACACTGGGTCCTCCCTTTAACTCGAGAACACCGACGTAATCGCCTTGAGTGGTGCAGATAACGGACCAGGAATGGAACAGTATTGTCTTTAGTGACGAGTCTCGATTTTGTTTAGGCATGCACGATGGTCGTGCCAGGGTTAGAAGGCGACGTGGTGAAATGCTTATGGCTTATGGTTCCAGGTCACCTTTAATCTTCATCAGAGCTAACATGAACGCGCAGCGTTATATCCACGTTCTAGAACCCCATCTTTTACCCTATCTTGACACCCTGGCAGATCCAACTTTCCAACAAGATAATGCCCGACCACATGTTGCAAGAGTCACAATTGACTTCTTTCAACATAATGATGTCACATTGTTACCATGGCCACCAAGATCTCCCAACTTATCCCCAACTGAGTACGTGTGGGATATGATGGGTAGGCGATTGCTCAATTTGCAACGTCCTGCAAGTGCAATCATTTTGAAATTTTTATCATTTACTTATTATGCTTCATTAAGTACTTATACAAAATTTTATTAAAATAAAACCATTTAAACTGGGTGTTCGGATTTATATGTCACTTAGTATAGATCGTTCAAGTTGCAATGGCTCAGATAGCAGCAATAGCAGCCCATACCATAACATCCACTGTGCGATTAATATGCCGTCTTCCACCACATCTCCTCCTTACTCTTGCACGGCCATCATGTGAGTTCAAACAGAAGCTGGACTCATCGCTGAACACCACCAAGTATCCCCCTATAGCCCCACGGTACCCAATGGGTGCTTAGGCCGTAGGCCTTCGTGGTAGTTGGAGTATAAAAAAAAGTTCCATTCTATATTCCATTCAAGTCCCTCCCTCCTCCATACCAATCGTTGCCTTTCGATGCTGTGGGGTCAGAGGTAGTACAAGATGGAGACGGTATTAAAACAGTTCAAAAGACCTCATCAGGCGATAAAGCTCCAACATCATCAAACCACTGGTTTGCTAGTTACCTCAGATAACGATCATGTCGTTCTGTAGTCTGTCTTTGACGTTCAGTACCTCTAACTGGTCAATTTCCGCATTCTTGGAACCACGCTCGACAACATCTCATCAAGCTTCGTTTCGATTCTCCCGATTAGCGATTTCTCTAAAAGAAAATCCGGTTTCACATAACCCGATTATCCGATCGCTTTCAAACTCGGAATGTTGAGTGATATTAGCGCGTTTGCGAACTTTAGGCATGATAATGCAGTGAAACAAATGGAACCAACACAAAAAAAGTATTTACAAATAAAGTACGGCTAGGAATGCCTTCAACATTTTATCAGCGTAACTTCCATGAGCAAATATGTTATTATCAAAATTCAACAAATGATTCTGGGTGGTGCTTTTTATATGTCGCTTAGTATAATTTAAAGCATTTAACTACAGTAATGGACATATAATACTGTTCTGTATTTCTTTTTTAACTTGTTTCATTACTACACCAACCTGTATATGTATTTCGTTATAGCATAATACTCACTTATGCATACATAAAATCATTAGACTCCCTTCAATAAAAAATTAGTTGTAAGAAACTGGAACCATGAAGGACAAAAATATATAGACAAAGCAAAACAATTATAGAAAAAAGAAGCAAAGTTCATTGAATTATAGAAAACCAACCATGTTTCTGATAATATTTTGTAGCATAACCATTATTATCAATCACCGCCTGGCATCGATTGTAGAAGTTTCTTGATATATCTAAGATTCATCAAACTGTCTCCACTTTTGCTCTAAAGCGGCAAAAAGCTCATCCTTGTTTGAATAGTTTTTATCTCGTATTTGCTTATCTCCATCCATAGATTTTCAATGGGGTTTATATCGGGAGACCGTGAAGGCCATTTGAGAACTGGTATTTTTTCATCCAGAAAGAATTTATTTGCGAGATTTGAAGTGTGTTTCGGGTCACTACCTTGCTGGAAGATTGATCTTAAGGGCATATTGTCTTTCATATAGGGAAACACGACATGCTTTAGTATGTGTATACAAACTTATCCATAATGCCATCTATTCTATGTAAAGGTCCCATCCCAAACCCCGAAAAGCACCCCCAAACCAGAACAGACCCGCCTCCATGTTTGACCGTGGGCAAAGTGTTCTTGGGTTCAATCTTTGTCCACTAGGACGTCTAACGTAATGAACACCATCTGATCCAAACATATTGAACTTGGATTCGTCACTGAAACATACCCTCTTCCAGTCACAGATGCTCCAATCAAGATGCAACCGTGCAAATTGTAATCGGTCCTTACGGTTTATCCTCGAGATTAGCGGCTTCTTACTCTGGCGACGTGCAACTAACTTAAAATCATTTAATCTTCTACTTATAGTTTTCGTAGAAACACTGGCAATTCCTTTCGTCTCGATTTCGGCTTTTAATTGTCTTGGAGTTTTAAACGGGTCTTTGGACGAAATTACTTTTATTAATCTAACTGATCTAGCATTTAGTTTTCCAGGCCGACCACTTCTCTTAGAGGCTTCCAAGATACCTTTTTGTTTATATTTGTTCAATATTGCCCAAACTGCTTCAAAGTTTTGGCAATGTCGACTTGACGTTGACCATCTTTGTATAACTCAATGATCTTAGTTTTCACATCGCAAGAAATTTCTGGAGCACGCGGCATGGTCTTAAAATCACTCAACTTATTCCACAATACTTGATAAACACAAACTAATCCTCTTCTGACACGAAACTGTACTAAACTAATGTTGAAAAGAATTTGTCTACATATATTTGTCCCTCATATTCAGACTTGTATTGTGTTCATTGCAGATAATGTACAAACATGGAATTTAGTTTTTCTACTAATAACGTATTTGTTTATGGAGCAATGAAGTATGAATTCGTTTTCTAAAGGTCTTTAGGTAAATATTCATATTTGTCAACCGCAATAAGTACGACCAAAACAGCATTCGCTATATTAGAGAACGAATTGATTCCCATCAGCCTAAAATGGTAACAAAACATCTCCGAGCTTCAAGTTAAGTTTCACCCAATAGTCTTATTTAAACTCTCCACCCATGTGCAAGCGATAAACTTGTTCTTGCTGGCTCATAAATTAGATGGCGTGTCGGAAAGTAGGTTGCTGCCACTGCTGCCGTATGTGTCGTTTTTTTTTTGTCAGCAGCGCTATCCACACCGCAGCGAAAAACCTCCACGGCGAACCGAAGGCCTTACGTGCGCTCAGCCATTTTGTTTGCCATCGCGCTCTGGAAGTGTATTTGCATTCAAATTCACACGCAGCACATGCTCATGTCGCATGTCAAACAGGTGGCGAATCAATTATAATTATACGTATCCCGAGATCACGAGACGATGTTTCTCTGTTTTATTGTAGTTGGCATCGTCAGAGAGCGATCAGGGCTTAATTCGGTGCCAGGATGGTAAGTGATTGCGTGAGTATTCTCGAAAAGATGAACTACCAAGATATCAATCAAGGTCTTAAAAGGTCTAGATCATTGATTCCCAAAGTGGTCTATATCGACCCCTAGGGGTCTATGACAACCTGCAAGGGGTCTACGTCAGCGAAAAAAAATTTGGGGGTCCATGAAATGAATATGTGGGTCCACGATAGTGGATCTCAACACATAAACTACCTATTTACTTGAATGAAGTAAAAAATTTATTATATATGTTTATAAAATTGTGTAAGTTGTAGGATGTGGTATTCGCTTTGTGGTCGCAATACATTTTGAACTTGTAAAAACCTGAGAGTCGCAGTCTCAGAGCTTCGCTACCTTGCACTGACTTGTTCAATTCGTCACTCTATAAATACGGATGTGGGAGAAATACATACGTTTATTCGTTTCCTGAATCTTGAAAAGGAAAGTGCTAAGAAAATATTTAAAAAAATATAAACAGATAGTATATCACACAAATTATAGTGAGTCAGTGTTATTTTGTTTGAGAGTGCTGGAGAAAAGTAAGTACATTATTTTTTATTAAATTTTAGTTTTGTACTCGTAGTTAGCAAAGATAGATAAATTACGCCAATCATGACTTTAGTTATTAGTAGTTAAATATTCAATCATGCAAAATTACACGAGTACTCCTCAATAGTTTCTTTTTGAAAAAAATCGGTAATATAATTACAGTGCAATCTCCGTAATTCGAGCTAATTGTTGCAAGATGTTCGAATTATGGAATGTTTTCGGAAAAATCAACAAATATTTTTAATATACCGCTGCTGGATTTTCTGTCTTATTTAAATAATTTAATTTTGCCCACAGATGACTGATGCCATGTCCGAATCTAAAAAGAAATGTAGACAGTACAGTGTTGATTATTTGAAATTTGGCTTCATTCCATCATTGCCGGACAAACAATCGCCTATGTGCCTTTTATGCAACAAAGTTTTGGGCAATGACGCTATGAAACCATCTAAACTGCACGATCTTCTGAGAAGATGCCACCCTGATAAAACAGAGAAAGATTTGAAATACTTTCAAACACTCAAAAGATAAATTTCAGAAGAGGCCTACACTGGACAGAATGTTCGCTTCGACGTCACAAAGAAATGATGATGGTTTGCGGGCGTCTTACAATATCTCGTTACTTATAGCAAAATCCGGAAAACCGCATACTATCGGAGCCGTTGAAGAGGTTTTAAAAACTGTTTTACACAAACACGCATCTGATATCATTAAAAGAATTCCCTTAAGCAACAATACTGTTGAAAGACGTATTGATGAAATGAGTTCTGATATTGAAAGCTGCTTATGTAATTATTTGCAAACGACCCATTTCTCTATACAACTGGACGAGTCAACTTTACCTGATAATGCAGCATTATTATTGGCATATGTTCGTTTTATTCTGAATCAAGAAATCTACGAAGAACTGCTCTTCGCAAGAACTTTGATAACCGACACTAAAGGTGAATCAATATTTCATGTTTTGAAGGATTACTTCATTGAAAAAGCAATTCCTTTATCAAATATAATATCAGTAGCTACAGATGGAGCACCTGCCATAATTGGACGTTATCGTGGATTTATAAGCTATTTAAAACAAAATGTGTCAGGGGTGTTAGCAATACATTGCGTCATCCATCGACAACATTTAGTTGCTAAAAATTTGAGTGTTAGATTGCATGAATCACTTCATTTAGTCATTGATGCAGTAAACCGAATCTGAAGCAACGCGTTGAATACGTGGTTATTTGCGCAGTTGTGTGAAGAAAATGACGAACACTTTCATCAATTACTCCTTCACACTGAAGTACGCTGGCTGTCGAAAGGCTTATGTTTGACAAGATTTTTTGCACTTTTTGAGACCATTTTAGAATTTGTGGATACTAAAGATAAAATTTTAAAAGAAAATTTAATGAAGAGGAAAACAGACATCGCCTATTTAACAGATTTGTTTACAAACTTTAATATGGTTAATTTGCAATGACAAGGCGACAGTTTAAATTTGATTAAAACAAAGTCCATCTTATCAGCGTTTCTTGCCAGAGTTAAACTAATGAAGCAAAATATTGGACGGGGCGAATTTTCTCAGTTCCCCAATTTGTCACAGACAAGCTGCCAGGAAGACGACGTTTCTACTTACGTTCAACATTGAAATGCCCTCTATTCAGATTTTGAATCTAGGTTTGAGGATATTTAGACTATGGTAATACCACCGTGGATAATTAATCCATATGGTGACATAGAATAAACGAATATCATAATACAAGAGAAACTGACTGAACTAAGTACAAACGAAGAACTTAAGGTTCAGTTTAAAATCGGATATCAGCAATTCTGGCTGCAAAACAACATACCCGTTACTTATCCCGTATTATGGAATATAGCGAGGAAATTTTTAATTTCCTTTCCATCATCATACCTAGTGGAAAGGGAGTTCAGCGCTGTTACCGATCTCCTAACGAAAAACAGAAACAGACTGTACATCATTAGCCGAGGAGATTTAAGATTAACCCTTACAAAATTGACTCGAAATGTTGATAATTTATTATTAAAGCATCAGGTTCATCCTTTTCACTAAAAACATTGACTTATTGCTTATGTTAGTTTATTTATAGTTTATTTTATGTTTATTGGTGTCTGACCAATAAATGCCCGCATTGGGAATAAGTGCCCGCATTGATTTATTTAAATCCCCCTTTATAGAAAATATTTTTTTTAAATTATTCTGAAAATTCAAGGATAGGTACACACTAGAATTCGTTAATTTTTTGCCTATTTTTAGATAACTTAAACGTATAAGAAGCGGCATTTAATCAAACTAACAGTGAAATTATTGTAGAACATACGTTTATGTTGTAATTAATAAACGAACTCGCTTATTGTACTATTTTAAGTAAAACACTTTTTTTTAATTATTTTTCACTTTTTTTTTATTTTATCCCTCTTATTTTTTTTTTCAATGCGGGCACTTATTGGTCATTGTTTATTTAATGTTACGTATATTTTACATAACAGATACAACATTTTATTTTGAGTAGTTTTAATATAAATTCAATTAATAAATGTATAAATTAACATGTGTTTTTACTTCAAGTTTTTAACACTAAACTTCACTACAGTTAGAAATTTACAGGAAATCAATATCAGGTAAGTAGGGGGTCTACCCAATACGGAAAAACATGGAAAGGGGTCTACGACACAAAAAAGTTTGGGGAACTCTGGTCTAGATCCTTTCTGCAGTGAGGATATGACCCGAAACACCCGGTCCACAAAAGACAGGACTGAAGACAGGTGTCTAGGAAGATCATCAGGACCGAGGCAGGAAAAAGAATGTGGCTCAACAACGCAGTAACTTTTTTGAAAAATAACCGCGAAGCGATGAAAGGTTTTCCACCTATTAATAAGCTGCCGTACTAGTCAGACCGCTCTAAACATTTGTCACGGCGTATTAAAATAATTAAAACGTTTTGGACCGCGGCCAGCGCTCGCGAATACCAACAGACAAATGGCTGACAGTGTTCTGAAATACCGCGACAAAATGCTTGTCCGGTCTGAATGCGATTTAAAGTGACTCTTGCACTTGGTCATCTTTTTATTTTTATCCAAGTAGTGATGGATGCGAGTTTGTCACCATTACAACGCGAGACAGTCTAAAGAAGGACCGACAATGTTAAATGTAGAAAATAGCGCGAAAGGTTACTACAATGATTAACAAACCTATGCTGTTAGATGGCATGTACAAAAAACATGTAAACTAAGAGACAAAAAAGTTGTATTTCTATTTGCTTAATCCAAAGGACATAATAAAAATTGCACAAAACTCAGAGACGTACATTTTTTGTACAAATATCTGTTCAGCTTCCGTTCGAGACGTCACTGGGCTTAAAAAATGTATTCAAGTTAGGGCCAAATTAGCGCCTTAATGTTATAAATACCACCGCCAATTTGCAATAAAATTAGGTAAAGAATATTTACGATTTTTAGGAAAAAACTTTCAAAAAATTTCAACACCCTCTACCTTGAGAACGAAGAATTTGCGAACTTATGTTTACATGAACTTTTTGAATTAAAATTACTCAAAAAATCGTCCGTTAAATTTATCGTATATATTTAATACATCAAAGTTGAATAACGTTTCTTTGACATTTTCAACAGCCTGGACCCGTAACGATTTCGAATCACCATGTATACGACAAAGAAGCGTGAATCTACCTCAAAATACGATGTAGTATAGCAGTAACATCCCTACGACGCTGTGATATTTTTATTTAGCTGACAGTATTTTTATTGGCAGTTTCACTTTAACAGCACGACGCAGTGGCGAGAAGAGGGAATTTAAAAGCTCCGCTTTAATGGCATATTAAAATAACGTTACTCTGGTATGTTTTACGACTTCGAAAATTTCGACAGACGAGCTGCGGCACGACCGTAGTGTCGTTAAATTATTTTTGGCACACACACATACAAGGATAGATAAATGGACTGCTTTGACTGTAGGTGACATAACACGATACTCTATTTTTGAAATGAGATGATGGCCGATTTGTCATAAATGCACCATTATATTAATTGTGTTAAAAGGGAATCCCATCCAGTCTACTTTTAAACATATCTACAAAACATGTTAAAATGTTTAAAATATAATCATGTGGTCTTCATATTGATAACCCGCGATGTTTCTCGCGCGGATCAATAACTGGATTAGAATTCCTCTCTATTGTACAAAGTGTCGGTCGAACCGATGGCCATCTTCAGGGACAATTGACACTTTTTTGTAAATATATTTTATTAATCTGTCTTCCAAGTGAAATTCCGTTTGTTTTTCGTTTCATATATAGGATAGGATGAAAACAAAATAAAAAACAAAGTGTTACCTGGAAGACAGATAGATAAAATATACTAAGTGACATATAAATCCGAACACCCAGTTTAAATGGTTTTATTTTAATAAAAGTTGGTGAATGTATTTATCTTACTGTAAATAACAAGTGAAAAAATGGTCAGCCTTATCAGTTGGACATTCCGGTTTTTATACTTTTTTTTAATTCACTAACGCTCTAAAAATGAATATTTCAGCCGCAGTAAAGAATCAACGTTGGCGGATTTTGGATCTTGACATCCTTTACGATCGGTTACGATGCCTAGAGTACGGAGATCTGTACGATTTCGTCAACTTAGTGAGTTTGATAGGGGCCGTATAGTGGGACTTCGGGAAGCTGGACTTTCTTTTCGGGCAATTGCAGTTAGAGTGCAAAGAAGTGTAGACACTGTGGTTAGGTGTTGTCAGGCATGGCTTCGAGAAGGCCGTACGCAAAGAGCAAGGGGCACTGGACGCCGCCGTAGAACAACAGACCGTGAAGATCGCCGCCTAAGATTATTGGCCTTAAGGGACCGTTTCTCCACTACCAGATCCATGGCAAATGAATGGTTTGCAGAACACGGAAGACCTATTGGCATGCGAAGTGTTTACCGACGAATGAGAAGTTTTGGCTTGTTTTCATACCGGCCACACTGGGTCCTCCCTTTAACTCGAGAACACCGACGTAATCGCCTTGAGTGGTGCAGACAACGGTCACTCTGGGATCAGGAATGGAACAGTATTGTCTCGATTTTGTTTAGGCATGCACGATGGTCGTGCCAGGGTTAGAAGGCGACGTGGTGAAAGGAGGAATCCACAGTTTTTTGTTGAAAGACATGTTCATCACACTGTTGGAGTTATGGTTTGGGGTGCTATATGTTATGGTTCCAGGTCACCTATAATCTTCATCAGAGGTAACATGAACGCGCAGCGTTATATCCACGAAGTTCTAGAACCCCATCTTTTACCCTATCTTGACACCCTGGCAGATCCAACGTTCCAACAAGATAATGCCCGACCACATGTTGCAAGAGTCACAATACACTTCTTTCAACATAATGATGTCACATTGTTACCATGGCCACCAAGATCTCCCGACTTATCCCCAATTGAGCACGTGTAGGATATGATGGGTAGGAGATTGCTCAATTTGCAACATCCTCCTCAGACTCTAGAAGCACTTCGAGAGGAGTTGGTGGTTGCCTGGAATGGGATACCACAGGAGGACATTGACCACCTGATCAGAAGCAAGCCTAGGCGCGTTGGAGAATGCGTAGCACATCAGGGTGCATCCACACATTATTAAAGGTCAAAGGGCTTTAAAGCAGTGCAATCATTTTGAAATTTTTATCATTTACTTATTATGCTTCATTACGTACTTATACAAAACTTTATTAAAATAAAACCATTTAAACTGGGTGTTCGGATTTATATGTCACTTAGTATATATTGTGGAAAAAGATTCAATTGTACTTGAAAAGGTGTGTACAGTGAAAAATCTGGCTTTACATGCACGGAAATTTGGGCATTTAATAGAAAAGTACCTAGTGTAACCGCTAGGAGTCTAGAAGATAATAATACCAACGATCCCGCTGATTATAATCCTGAAAAACCAAATAGAAATCAGCGTCCACTAAAAAGGTCCGCTGCTCAAAAATGTGCTTTTCATCTTTCCTAATAGCGTCTACTTCTCTCGTCAACGCTTTCAACATCAAAAGTTATGCACCAGTCAACTTACTCTGTTCCACAAAATCTAAAGAACATTGTTCACTATCTACTAAGAAAGAATTTACTCCAGCACAAATAAGACCTTTACCGAAGGCAGACCTTACTAAACCCAAAAGTGTTTGGAACCGAAAGGGAAGCACTTCCATACTCACCGACACTCCCAAAAAAATGCAAATAGAACAAGGTCTTGCAACCAAGAATTCAAAATCTATCAAGAAGAAACTCGTGCAAGATAAAGACGTTCTGCGAAGAAGCAAAAACTTGAACATAGTGAATCTCCATCATCTAAAGAAGAAGACGCGTTGTACTTAGTCATTTTTGGTTCATATAAAAGTAGCTCTGACGACTAGTTACAGTGTAGACTATCTAGGGAGTGGGCACATTCCAAATGTGTAAAGAATAATCCTCTTTTTGTTTGTCGGAACTACTTCTCTGCGAACTCTGTTTAGTTTTTAAGTAGTTTTTTACTGTAGTATTATAGTTTGAGTAAAATATAATTATTTGTTATTACAATGTTAGACAATGCAGAGAAGGGTTACATTTTAAATGTGCAACGAATCCTCTTT